ATTTCCGCACCCCCCACAGCTCCTTCTTGCATCTCCAGGACATTTTCTTGGTTCAGGTTCAACTTGGAGCCCCAGTAAAGGACACATGGACCTACCCAGGTGCCCTTGACACTCAACTCCCTCAGGGTGGTTCATGTGTCTCCCTCAGGGCAGACTGTGTCTCCCCTCATTCCCCCCACTCTTGTCCCAAAGATCTTACCCCTTCCAGATTCTCCAGCAGCATCTGGAGCAGCTTGGATGCCAGGAGAAGGGGAGCGGGCACCTAAATGCCTGAATTTATAAGCTTGCAGCCCCACCCGGGTTGGGGAGTGGGTGGGGTGGGGTGGGAAGTGGCTGAGAGTCAGCTTTACAGGCTGGACGCCTAGGTGGCTGGTAGGGTGGGTGATGAGGCCTAATAAACATTTATTAGTCTGAAACTTTTATCTGAGTCTACAGGAGGGATTTTCAGCCAGGGACAGCTCCTCAAGGGGGAGGAGGCAGGAGGGCAAGAGTTGAAAATTGGAGATCAAAATACAGAACCTGGATTCTGGAGCCTGTAATCTGGAATTGGGGCCTAGAGAGTAGAAACTGGATTCTAGAGTCATATTTCTTGTGCTTGGAAGTAGGGTTCTGGATCTTGAATTCTGGACCTGGATCTGGAGTCCCAATTCTGGACCCCCAATTCTGAACCCCCCAATTCTGGATCTGTGATTTCTGATGCTGGGTTCTGGATCTAGATCTCCAATTCTGGATCTTGGATTTTGGATCCAGATCCCTGATTCTGGATCTTGAAGTCTAGATCTCTCAATTCTGGGTTCTGGATCATGGATTCTGGATCTGGGTCTCTGGTTCTGGATTCTGGATCCAGATTTCTGGTTGTGGATCTTTGATTCTGGTTTTCAAGTTCTGGATTCTGAATTTTGAGGTCTAGAGTTAGAGATTCATGACTGGAAGTCTAGAGTGTGAATTTTGGAGTAGTCTGTGTTTTGGAGTTTGGGTCTGGAATCTGGATTCTGGAGTCTGGCCTTTGAATGACAAATCTCGGACTTGGGTTCTAGATCCTGGACCTTTAAACTTAGTATTCAAACAAGAAGTATGGAGTCTGGCACTTGAAATCTAAGACTTGAGGTCAGAAACCTTCACATCTGCTGTGTGAAGACTGGAATCTGGAGTACGAACGGTAGATTTTGTATTTTGAATTTTGGAGCCTGGATCCTAGAGTCTAGGTCTAGATTCTGAGATTTCATGGCTTAACTTTGGAGTGTGAAGCCTGGGGTTTCAAATATGCATGGTATATTTAAGGGGCTGGACATGGGCCTGGTTGCCATGATTCCCAGATTCCTAGATTCTCGACTCTGGAGTATGAATTTAGCGACAGGGAGACTGGAGTCTTTATTCTGAATTCTGCAGTCTTGATTCTGGGTTTTAAGTCTTGAAATCTCTGGATTCTCCTTTTGGGAGGCTGGAGATCATCACTAAGATGACCCACAGCTTTGGGAATTTGAAGCTGTTTTACAGTGCCTCAGAAACTTAGAGGGGCCTGAGCAATTGTCTAGAGTCTCTCCTGGCTGGTTCAACTAAAGAGGAGTTGTAGAGAGCAGGAGGGACTGACCTCAGGTCACCCAGTGAAGGATGGGACCTCTTATAAGCATGGTCCCTCCCCATGTCTGGAAGGCCATCCCTTTACAGGAAGTGGCTGCAAGATGGGGGCTGGCTGTTCAGGAGATCAGTGGCCAATGTCTAGGGGTCCCTGGTCCTTGATTTCCCCACAGGTAATATGGGAGACAGGTGGCATCTAACCCCCATACGCAGCTGAGGCTCACACCCAGATTTCCCTGGCCGGCTTACTGGGAGGGTGCCCTGCTCCGCCCCCAACGCGGTGATGTTCGCGCTCCTCCTCCCTCCCATCTGGCGAGTCAGACCTGGATGGCTGGTGTCCTCATGGGCATCTCCCCATATGTCCTTCAACTTAACCACAGCCTGAGTCCCGCCCTGTACCCTGAACCTCCTCCTCTCTGAAGTCTTTCAACCACCAACCACGCAGGCCTCCTCCATCTGACCCTGAACTCCTGCCAAGGGCAGCCACCTGGTCTCACTCGTCCTGTCCTAACTCATTTCTCTCTTTCCTAAAGTTTCCTCTTTCCACATCTCCCATCCTAGGGACAGCTCCACTGTCCACCTAGTCATGCAGCGACCCCTGTCCTGCCCCACCCTGCCCTCCTCCCTACAGCCCAAAGGTCCCCGCCCCGGTCCCTCCTGCCCCTGCCTCTCTCTGCCTCCTCTCCTCTCTGTCCCCTTGGCCTGGCCACAGGTCAGGTGTCCTATGGCCTCACCCCAGCCTCCTCCCTGACCTCCCAGCCTTCCAGGCTATTCCCTCCAACCATCACCAGGTGGCCTCAGAGGGCTGCTAGGCTCAGGGCTGCTACGCCCCTCCCCTGCCCACAGCCCCTCTGCGATGACTCCTCACTGACCCTGCACAGGTCTCCACCCTCAGCCAGGCATTTGAGGTCCTTTGAGATACTCCTGCCAGAAGAAGTCTTATCTAGAACCCCCAGGAGACAGTTACTGGAAGGGAATGGGGACTTAGACTCCCGGGTCAGAGGGAGAGGTGAGGAACCCCTTCTGTACGGTTTCCAGCCTGGTCTGGTATTCTGGTATCCAGACCACCTCTGGTGCCTGGGCCTGGGGCTTCTGCCCAACATCTTGTGTGTCTGAACCGACTCCCCAAGGAGCCAAGATGTCACGCTGTGCGCTGGGCGCTGAGGGACCCAGGAGCTGTGGGCAGGGCTGAGCCTAAGCAGGACAGGGTCTGACTGGTGTGCTCACAGGCTCCCTCTGGCGTGAAATGCTTTTTTGGTTTTTAGAGACGGCGAGAGAGGGAGAGGGAGAGGGAGAGAGGGAGAGAGGGAGAGAGAGGGAGAGAGAGAGGGGGGAGATGTGAGAAAGAAACTGTTACCTTCCTTCTCGCCCTCAACCCAACCCCATCCCCGTCGCCGAGCACCGAGCTAAGAGCTATTCAACCA